TGATTGTAGATGACACGACAGGCATCTAACAGTTAATTCACGCACAGGATTGCATTGCATACGCATTACGCATTCAGTAGCGTATACTCGTTTTTCGCGAGTGGAACGTTTTGTTTATATATTGCCTAAGATACGATGTCTGACACAGATACAGCCGACGAAGTGGTTGACATCAGCGCAACCCCACCCAAAAAAAGGGCTAAGAAGCTACATTTAAGTGCAAATGAAAAACAAATAATATTAAATATATACAAAAACCAAATTCAAGAAAAACCCGATTTGGTCGTGGACGAAGTTATATGTAAGGTAGCACATATTTCTGGAGTATGTCGGTCCAGTGTTTATAGGATCATTAAGGAATATAGGAGCACTCACTCACTTTCTGAGCCAAAACCGTATCCTGCAAGAAAAAGGATAACGGACGGAGTAGATGACTTTGACAGAACTGCCATCAGGAGGAAAGTGCATAATTTTTTCTTCCGAAATGAGATACCTACAGTAGATAAGATATTAAGATTAGTTAATGCTGATGAGGATCTTCCATTATTTAAAAGAACCACATTCCGAAAACTTTTGAAGGAACTTAATTTTCGATTCTTGAAACGGGGAAGAAACAGTATGTTAATAGAGAAAGAAGAAATTGTTGTATGGAGAAGGGAATACCTTAGGAAGATTCGGAAGTTTCGCGATGAAAAAAGAAAAATTTACTATTTGGACGAAACGTGGGTGAATGCTCAAGCGAAAGTTTGGGTCGACAAATCAGTAACATCATCAAGGCAGGCTTTTCTAGACGGTCTTTCGGCTGGATTGAAAAATCCTGCAGGTAAGCTCCTTCATCTATCCGGCAATTTAATTTTGATAAATTCGGGCAAATAATATGCTGTGATAGCAGATAATGTGTGATATTCTCCAAAAATGGTGCATTCGCAGTGTAGTCATTAGGAAAAAAACTTCGACCCTCTTTTAAGCGTTATTTTGAAATTTATTATCATTTTTGGGTGCAGTCAATTTGCTTTGAATGGGTTTTGAGAAGTTGCAAACTTCAATTTTCTACGTTTTTCAGTTTTTGATCAGCATTCCGTGACTCTTAAATTCAGCTAAATGAACTCAATTGCCTCATTCCTTCAAATTTAATCAATCCATAGTGTAAGGAATAATTTATTTCCAGGAAAAGGCAAACGGCTGATCATTTGTCCCGAAGCACTGTGGGCCTTTGAATCAAAAAAGACAGGGGACTATCATGAGGAGATGAACGGCAATTCCTTTGAAAATTGGTTCTCCAAAATGTTACTAAAGCTGGAGAATAACGCTGTTATTGTACTGGATAATGCCCCGTACCATTCTAGAAAAATAGAAAAAATTCCCACAATGGCAACTAAAAAAGCAAACATACAACAATGGCTGGCCTCAAAACAGATCGATTTTGATGAAACAATGGTCAAGGGTGAATTGATAAGTATAGTCAATAGACATAAATACAAATACGATTTTAAAATGATCGACGAAATGGCCAAAAAACAAAATAAAACTGTCTTGAGACTGCCACCCTACCATTGTGAGCTGAACCCTATTGAGCTGATTTGGGCCAACATAAAGCAATACGTGGCGTCGAATAATAATACTTATAAATTTTCTGAAGTTAAAAATCTCTTTCACATCGCAGTCAATAGAGTTACGGCAGAGGAATGGAAAAACTGTATCCGCCACGTTCGGGAGAAGGTTGAGGTCAAAATGTGGGATTTGGACAATGTCATCGATACCCAAATTGAACCTCTAATAATTCATTTAAACGATTCAGAAGATTCAAGTTCCTCTTCTGAATGAGTGCGCGCAGCTTACTTACTAATAACTAAAAAGTGTAGTTAACTCATTTGTGAATCTCTAACTGAAATTTACTGTAAAAGATAATAATTATCTTGTATGAAATTTTTGATGACTACCCATAATATCTTGATGCGGTCCTGTAATGTCTCCTGCGCCTAAACACTCACTCACGAGCAATATGCGTGTATTTGTTTGGGTTTAGTTTCTTTCTTCAGCGCCTAGAGTATAGGCATCGTAACCGATCGTAAAGGATGTCAAGAACCAAAATCCGCCAACGTTGATTCTTTACTGCGGCTGAAATATACATTTTTAGAGCGTTAGTAAATTAAAAAAAAGCAGTATAAAAACCGAAATATCCAACTGATAAGGCTGAAAATTTTTTCACTTGTTATTTACAGTAAGATAAATATATTCACCAACTTTTATTAAAATAAAACCATTTAAACTGGGTGTTCGGATTTATATGTCACTTAGTATATTAACAAAATATTCATTGTTAATATTTTAAACCTATAACACCCTGCTACATTTTTATTATATGTGTTTGATAAGAAAAGAACTAATATTTCAATAGTTGTTCCAACTGAAGTGGGAAGGGGCTCGTACATATTATTTATTTTTGATTCTTAATTTGTTGTTTATTCATGTTCCAACCTGCGAATGCTGATACCTGGATCTTCTTCGATCTCTTCGAGAAGAGCTTCTTCCACTAGCGGTGTTCCACAGGGATATTACGTACCTTTAAATCTTCGCGATTACAATACTTCTTCGCCAGTTTTGGCATAGGAAATAAAAATGTCGTTTATAACTCTTGCGATAAGTGTCCTTTTCGAAAAATAATGATACTGTTAGATGCACTATGTAAAGAAAATATGTAACATTGAATCCATGGAAAGATTGTCCTTAGATGTTGTGTAAAAAGCGGCACCCCACTACTGCAGCCCCTAAATCACTACCCACCCTGCGCACATTAGATAGCATCTGCGTTAACTGCAGATCCGCGCTGTTGATACCACGATTTAATACCGATTTGATATATCGCGGGCGCTCAAACGCTTGCTGCGATACAAAGGCTACATACATCACTGTTTGAATAGGGGAAGAGGGAGCTGCAAGGATGTAGATCGGTGTCAGTCTCCCTAGAGGCCTTGCACTATGTCCGTAGGGAAAGCAACGTTGAAACGATCTTGTATTAGTGGAGACTGACCTTCGGGATATATCTCGGAACCTTGGGAAGTGGAATATTCGAGGAGTTTTGAGGAAAGGCTAAACGTATACTCCCAGAAATGACACGCCGAAGTGATACAGGAGGTAGATTGGCTTCTATCAGATAAAATCAACATGACCTTAGTAAAAGTTTTCTAGTTTTCGAGATATTGCCACTTTTAAGTTTTTAAAAAACATTCTTCTTTTTGCTCCTTTTTGCTTGTTATATCTATAGAGAACATCTAACTTATTATTTTTTTTCCTGAACTATTAATAGTCGGTTGAGATAACAGAGTATTCATGTCACTGAAAACGAGCACGGTGTGCTGAAAAACAAATTATTACATTCGGTTTCAATCCGAAAACTTCATTAAAGTTTTACTAATTAGTGTGAAAAAAATGTACTAGATTGAAGCAGCGAATGACCTTAAACATTAGCTATTGAATGCACTTTCAAAAATAGTATAAAATTTGTAGGTTCTTTTTAGACATCCCTCGTACTTTGGTACAAAATTTTCAAGGCGAAAACAGAAAACACAACATGCGCGGTCCACTGAACCGACTCGAGTTTCGAAACACGTTGAAACATTTTGATGTGACCGTTTTCGAGCGGAATCCGAAAAGCAAAACTCTAACTGTCGCAAAACGCGTCAGTCTTCAAAGAGTTTGCAAATAGTTACACATTTGTTCTATTCGACAAGAGTTTGTGTTTTGTCCGTTTAGAGAATAACCGCCATAAGATTGTAAATAACAAATTATAAAGCAGCGGCCCTCCAAAACACTTCAGGACATTTGAGATAAAGACGGAATAGTATGAAGTTTCGAGAATTATATTAAGTTTACAGATTTGAGCTAAGCTATGTTTTCCGATTCATTATTATTCGGTCGGTTTTCCTGATTTACTCAAAATGATGAATAGAGTAATCCAAAAAAAAATTAAAATTGAACTGTCGAAAATATTAGTCAGACCAATCAGGATTTAAGATGGCCTTAGATCATCGATTCCCAAAGTGGTCTATATCGACCCCTAGGGGTCTATGACAACCTGCAAGGGGTCTACGTCAGCGAAAAAAAAATTGGGGGTCCATGAAATGAATATGGGGGTCCACGATAGTGGATCTCTATACATACACTGATAGTATCTATTTACTTACATCATACTATCTTATAATATCAAAATATACATTATTTATAAAAGTACCTATGAAGTAAAAAATGTATTATATATATTTATAAAATTGTGTAAGTTGTAGAATGTTGGTATTCGCTTTGTGGTCGTAATACATTTTGAACTTGTAAAAACCTGAGAGTCGCAGTCTCAGAGCTTCGCTACCTTGCACTGACTTGTTCAATTCGTCACCCTATAAATACGAATGTGGGACAAATACGTTTATTCGTTTCCTGAATCTTGAAAAGGAAAGTGCTAAGAAAATATTTTAAAAAATATAAACAGATAGTATATCACACAAATTATAGTGAGTCAGTGTTATTTTGTTTGAGAGTGCTGGAGAAAAGTAAGTACATTATTTTTTATTAAATTTTAGTTTTGTACTCGTAGTTAGCAAAGATAGATAAATTACGCCAATCGTGACTTTAGTTATTAGTAGTTAAATATTCAATCATGCAAAATTACACGAGTACTCCTCAATAGTTTCTTTTTGAAAGTTTTAGCAATCGGTAATATAATTACAGTGCAATCTCCGTAATTCGAGCTAATTGTTGCATGAAGGTGTTCGAATTAAGGAATGTTTTCGGAAAAATCAAAAAATATTTTTAATATACAGCTGCTGGATTTTTTGTCTTATTTAAATAATTTAATTTTGCCCACAGATGACTGATGCCATGTCCGAATCTAAAAGAAATGTAGACAGTACAGTGTTGATTATTTGAAATTTGGCTTCATTCCATCATTGCCGGACAAACAATCGCCTTTGTGCCTTTTATGCAACAAAGTTTTGGGCAATGACGCTATGAAACCATCTAAACTGCAAGATCATCTGAGAAGATGCCACCCTGATAAAACAGAGAAAGATTTGAAATACTTTCAAACACTTAAAGATAAATTTCAGAAGAGACCTACACTGGACAGAATGTTCGCTTCGACGTCACAAAGAAATGATGATGGTTTGCGGGCGTCTTACAATATCTCGTTATTTATAGCAAAATCCGGAAAACCGCATACTATCGGAGAGAAGTTAATTTTGCCAGCCGTTGAAGAGGTTTTAAAAACTGTTTTACACAAACCTGCATCTGATATCATTTAAAGAATTCCCTTAAGCAACAATGCTGTTGAAAGACGTATTGATGAAACGAGTTCTGATATTGAAAGCTTCTTATGTAATTATTTGCAAACGACCCATTTTTCTATACAACTGGACGAGTCAACTTTACCTGATAATGCAGCATTATTATTGGCGTATGTTCGTTTTATTATGAATCAAGAAATCTACGAAGAACTGCTCTTCGCAAGAACTTTGATAACCGACACTAAAGGTGAATCAATATTTCATGTTTTGAAGGATTACTTCATTGAAAAAGCAATTCCTTTATCAAATATAATATCAGTAGCTACAGATGGAGCACCTGCCATGGTTGGACGTTATCGTGGATTTATAAGCTATTTAAAACAAAATGTGTCAGGGGTGTTAGCAATACATTGCGTCATCCATCGACAACATTTAGTTGCTAAAAATTTGAGTGTTAGATTGCATGAATCACTTCATTTAGTCATTGATGCAGTAAACCGAATCCGAAGCAACGCGTTGAATGCGCAGTTATTTGCGCAGTTGTGTGAAGAAAATGACGAACGCTTTCATCAATTACTCCTTCACACTGAAGTACGCTGGCTGTCGAAAGGCTTATGTTTGACAATTTTTGTACTTTTTGAGATTATTTTAGAATTTCTGGATACTAAAGATAAAATTTTAAAAGAAAATTTAATGAAGAGGAAAACAGACATCGCCTATTTAACAGATTTGTTTACAAAAGTTAATATGGTTGATTTGCAATTACAAGGCGACAGTTTAAATTTGATTGAAACAAAGTCCATCTTATCAGCGTTTCTTGCCAGAGTTAATCTAATGAAGCAAAATATTGGACGGGGCGAATTTTCTCAGTTCCCCAATTTGTCACAGACAAGCTGCCAGGAAGACGACGTTTCAACTTACGTTCAACATTTAAATGCCCTCTATTCATATTTTGAATCTAGGTTTGAGGATATTTTGACTATGGTAATACCACCGTGGATAATTAATCCATATGGTGACATAGAAGAAACGAATGTCATAATACAAGAGGAACTGACTGAACTAAGTACAAACGAAGAACTTAAGGTTCAGTTTAAAAACGGATATCAGCAATTCTGGCTGCAAAACAACATACCCGTTACTTATCCCGTATTATGGAATATAGCGAGGAAATTTTTAATTTCCTTTCCATCGTCATACCTAGTAAAAAGGGGGTTCAGCGCTGTTACCAATCTCCTAACGAAAAAAAGAAACAGACTGGACATCATTAGCCGAGGAGATTTAAGATTAACCCTTACAAAATTGACGCCAAATGTTGATAATTTATTATTAAAGCATCAGGTTCATCCTTCTCACTAAAAATATTGACTTATTGCTTATGTTATTTTATTTATAGTTTATTTTATGTTTATTGGTGTTTGACCAATAAACGCCCGCATTGGGAATAAGTGCCCGCATTGATTTTTTTATAGAAAATATTCTTTTTTTTTAAAAAAATATTCTGAAAATTCAAGGATAGGTACACACTAAAATTCGTTAATTTTTTGCCTTCAGATAACCTAAACGTATAAGAAGCGGAATTTAATCAAACTAACAGTGAAATTATTGTAGAACATACGTTTATGTTATAATTAATAAACGAACTCGCTTATTGTACTATTTTAAGTAAAAAACTTTTTTTTTTATTTTTCACTTTTTTTTAATTTTATCCCTCTTATTTTTTTTAATGCGGGCACTTATTCAAAATGCGGGCACTCATTGGTCAAACACCTGTTTATTTAATGTTAGGTTAGATAACAGATACAAAATTTTATTTTGAGTAGTTTTAATTTAAATTCAATTAATAAATGTATAAATTAACATGTGTTTTTACTTTAAGTTTTTAACACTAAACTTCACTACAGTTAGAAATTTACAGGAAATCAATATCAGGTAAGGAGGGGGCCTACCCAACACGGAAAAACATGGCAAGGGTCTACGACACAAAAAAGTTTGTGGAACTCTGCCTTAGATGTTGTAATTGAGATCAAGTTAATTATTATGTTGTTTTCATTGGAAAATTCAAAGCTACCCTAGCAAAGAGGCTGATCGTAGTTACGTCATTCCATATGCCAGAATTCTTGCCCGAAACCATCATTGACCATCGACATACCTCACCAAGTAAAATCCTGCTAGTCTTCGCTGCCCGTATCGAGAAGTGTCTTGAGATATTCCCATGGACATTGGAGCGGAAGGTAACAAATTCTAAAGCCATCTTCTAGCTCGCACGCGCGTATCTGGCCCACTTTTACGGTAAACATTTCCTTGGAATGGCAGGATCGTGACTTGTTAGCGGCAGGATACGCCTCGAGAGTGGCAGGTGTCAGCTGGGTCATGTTTTATTCAGATCGTGCAAAACAACTTAAACGCGAAGCCACGCCACGCTGCACCAGGCACTACGCGCTAGGGATGGGCTTGGCCATATCGAAAAACAAAGATTTCCAACATGTCCAAGGAATTAAAATTATTACAACCGCACAAAGTATAATAATAATAATAATAATAATAATAATAATATACTAAGTGACATATAAATCCGAACACCCAGTTTAAATGGTTTTATTTTAATAAAATTTTGTATAAGTACTTAATGAAGCATAATAAGTAAATGATAAAAATTTCAAAATGATTGCACTGCTTTAAAGCCCTTTGACCTTTAATAATGTGTGGATGCACCCTGATGTGCTACGCATTCTCCAACGCGCCTAGGCATGCTTCTGATCAGGTGGTCAATGTCCTCCTGTGGTATTTCATTCCAGGCAACCACCAACTCCTCTCGAAGTGCTTCTAGAGTCTCAGGAGGACGTTGCAAATTGAGCAATCTCCTACCCATCATATCCCACACGTGCTCAATTGGGGATAAGTCGGGAGATCTTGGTGGCCATGGTAACAATGTCACATCATTATGTTGAAAGAAGTCTATTGTGACTCTTGCAACATGTGGTCGGGCATTATCTTGTTGGAAAGTTGGATCTGCCAGGGTGTCAAGATAGGGTAAAAGATGGGGTTCTAGAACTTCGTGGATATAACGCTGCCCGTTCATGTTACCTTTGATGAAGATTAAAGGTGACCTGGCACCATAAGCTATAGCACCCCAAACCATAACTCCAACAGTGTGATGAACATGTCTTTCAACAAAAAACTGTGGATTCCTCCTTTCACCACGTCGCCTTCTAACCCTGGCACGACCATCGTGCATGCCTAAACAAAATCGAGACTCGTCACTAAAGACAATACTGTTCCATTCCTGATCCCAGAGTGACCGTTGTCTGCACCACTCAAGGCGATTACGTCGGAGTTAAAGGGAGGACCCAGTGTGGCCGGTATGAAAACAAGCCAAAACTTCTCATTCGTCGGTAAACACTTCGCATGCCAATAGGTCTTCCGTGTTCTGCAAACCTTTCATTTGCAATGGACCTGGTAGTGGAGGAACGGTCCCTTAAGGCCAATAATCTTAGGCGGCGATCTTCACGGTCTGTTGTTCTACGGCGGCGTCCAGTGCCCCCTGCTCTTTGCTTACGGCCTTCTCGAAGCCATGCCTGACAACACCTAACCACAGTGTCTACACTTCTTTGCACTTTAACTGCAATTGCCCGAAAAGAAAGTCCAGCTTCCCGAAGTCCCACTATACGGCCCCTATCAAACTCACTAAGTTGACGAAATCGTACAGGTCTCCGTACTCTAGGCATCGTAACCGTTTGTTTTTTCCGTTCATTTTCACATTCCTACACAGTGTGTTACTATAGATCTATATCTATAGAAAGGGAACACTGTTGTTTGTCTTGTGAAGAAAGACAGAACATTTTGGACTTCGGATTTGAGATCCAGTAACAAACCATGAGAAAAGACCTAGATAGAAGACTCCTGGACCATTAGTTAGGTTGGAGAATATCGATTGAAGGAAACTTTTGGCATTTTCGGGACGATGGACGAGGGTGGAGTATCTGGTACCTTTAAAAACCACAGATAGGAATGTGAAAATGAAAAAAAGAAAGTGTCGCCTGGAAGACAGATAAATAAAATATATTGAGAAAAAAGTGTCAATTCTAAATAAACAAGGATTGATAAGAAGTTTCAAATACATCCCTATCACATTTTTTGGTCACAGTTAGCCCTTGAAGTTGTTGATCGATACAAAAACACACGATTGCTAATTTCTTTCTTCGAGGGATGTCTTTTACGTTTTGCATATAGAAACATACATATGTTTAGATCTGTTGTGTCGATATCGATGGCATTTGCACGAGATAAGCAAGACGGAAACGGAAACATCCAATCAAAAGGTACATTCGCGAAGTATCAGTATGTTAAATACAGACAGACTGACAGAATGATTGACATGATGTTATATCCAAAAACACAATGTTTTGGAATTTTACATACGCAAGTTGACATCACAAAAAAAAAGTATCGATATTCGGAAACGTCGATACGTTCAGTCCATCCCTACAACTCGCACCTCCTATTTCACTTCCTCATTCTGGTTTACGGTGGAAACGGAGTTGCGGGTTTTATTGCAGGATTTTTGCGAATACCTTCAATTGTTTTAAAACTGTTCAAATTGGGGTGAGCGGGTAATGCGACAAATCAGTTATGATGCAAAGGTGCTTGGAATGAGAATGAATTGTTGTCACAGCGATTGTGAGATAAAACATTTCTCTATCATTTGAGGAAATGAAGCTCGGCCCGGTTGTAGTACAACCAACTGGGAGTTTTCTTACCTGGATTCCAGGAATTTTACACATTTCGATGCAATGCTATAGCGTTGGGAACATTATTTCTGGAACAACCCTCGTATTATATGATACATTAATATTAAAATAGTAAAATAGTAGTTTTAAATTTTGTAAATTATGAAATATGATTAAAGCAGTTGCACCTGTGATCTAGAGTCATCCTACTTAGAACACATTTCCAACAAACTGAATATAATTTCCGTGATTTTATGTTTGCTTAAGGTACAGGAATCTAAATAATCCTCTCAGAAAAAAAATTAGCTACCCGCATGAATAATAAAAAAATAGGTCAGATCTATACTAAGTGACATATAAATCCGAACACCCAGTTTAAATGGTTTTATTTTAATAAAATTTTGTATAAGTACTTAATGAAGCATAATAAGTAAATGATAAAAATTTCAAAATGATTGCACTGCTTTAAAGCCCTTTGACCTTTAATAATGTGTGGATGCACCCTGATGTGCTACGCATTCTCCAACGCGCCTAGGCATGCTTCTGATCAGGTGGTCAATGTCCTCCTGTGGTATCTCATTCCAGGCAACCACGAACTCCTCTCGAAGTGTTTCTAGAGTCTGAGGAGAACGTTGCAAATTGAGCAATCTCCTACCCATCATATCCCACACGTGCTCAATTGGGGATAAGTCGGGAGATCTTGGTGGCCATGGTAACAATGTGACATCATTATGTTGAAAGAAGTCTATTGTGACTCTTGCAACATGTGGTCGGGCATTATCTTGTTGGAAAGTTGGATCTGCCAGGGTGTCGAGATAGAGTAAAAGATGGGGTTCTAGAATTTCGTGGATATAACGCTGCGCGTTCATGTTACCTCTGATGAAGATTAAAGGTGACCTGGAACCATAAGCTATAGCACCCCAAACCATAACTCCAACAGTGTGATGAACATGTCTTTCAACAAAAAACTGTGGATTTCTCCTTTCGCCTTCTAACCCTGGCACGACCATCGTGCATGCCTAAACAAAATCGAGACTCGTCACTAAAGACATTCCTGATCCCAGAGTGACCGTTGTCTGCACCACTCAAGGCGATTACGTCGGTGTTCTCGAGTTAAAGGGAGGACCCAGTGTGGCCGGTATGAAAACAAGCCAAAACTTCTCATTCGTCGGTAAACACTTCGCATGCCAATAGGTCTTCCGTGTTCTGCAAACCATTCATTTGCAATGGACCTGGTAGTGGAGAAACGGTCCCTTAAGGCCAATAATCTGAGGAGGCGATATTCACGATCTGTTGTTCTACGGCGGCGTCCAGTGCCCCTTGCTCTTTGCGTACGGTCTTCTCGAAGCCATGCCTGACAACACCTAACCACAGTGTCTACACTTCTTTGCACTCTAACTGCAATTGCCCGAAAAGAAA